ACAAACTGATTGTTAGTATCAAGGAGAAACCTGAAGACAACTACATTCCTAGAACTTTTGAAAATTACTTCAAAAAAGGCAAGATCAAACAACACACATATATACGATCATAGTTCGAGCAATTTTTGCCTCTACTTCTGGTTATCAAATAAGCGGATTCCAGACAACATGTTGAAAGAAAACACCAAGCTGAAGAAGCAGAGATACTTACAAGTTCTTGCATCTTAGCACGGAAGAAATCAATTTTCTGCTTGGAATCAGCTATTTCTTTTTCGAGTTCATCCACCTAAACACCAAAACACAAGAATTAAAAAAAATGAAAGGCAATCACACATAAGTTTTTAAGTACGCCAGTATATATTACATGGATAACTGATCAATTATGCGGGAAATGTACGGAGGATATGTGATAGAGAAGGGAAACTCAAAACAAGGTAGAAACAAATAAATTATTCTTAGTTCTCAATGGCTGTTTAATATCTTCCATGCCAATGAAATTAAGATTGACTGCCACTGCCAATCATAAGTTGAAAGATTATCTTCAAATCTTGACTATGGCTACGCAAATCCACAAATATTTCATATAAATGCCGTATGAAAGGGGGCAAAAGATATCTTCAGATAGAAAATGCCAAAAAAAAAAAAGAAAAAAACTCAAACGATAACCAACGGAATTCACCACATTAACAAATTAAAATCAGAGAGAAACCAGAGAGTACCTTTTTATCAACAGCAGTTGCTTCTTCAAACTTTGAGTTGAGCGAATCCTGCTCCTCTTTGCTAAGTTGATCCACCAGCGGTTTTTCCAACACAGGCATTTTACGCTTTGGCTGAGTGGGCTGGACCATTCCATCACTAGGAGATAGAGGCACTGGCCTCGGAGGCTTTCCTTTGGGACCAGCTGGTGGCCTCAAGGCCCCAGGATGTGGTTGCTGTTGGAAACCTACAATATTTGGTACATAAATGAATTTACCTAGTTTAGGGAAAAAAAAGGTAAGTAATACAGTATGTGCAATCGAATACCTTGTGGATGTCCCCAGGATGCATTGCCATGTGGTGCCACAGACTGACCAGGAGAGGTAAACATGCTCTCACTATGAATTATAGAGCTTGGGAACATTGGGGGAAGAGGTCGGCCCTCTCTGTAACGCTCCATTAGATAAACCGCAATACAGAACTCCCGCAAGGAGAGCATGCTGTCATTATCTTGATCAGATAAATCCCATACCTGCTTCAAAGCCTCTGTAACACACAGGACCAGCATGAGACACATAAAACATTCTTCAATATTCCCCATGGAGAATTCAACAAATTGTGCTCGAAGAACATGACATCTCTATTGACATATAGTATAGTCTACACGCGGACCACAACATGAAATATTCAAGATGAACTAGAAACGGCAGTTAATCAATATCCAAGTCCAAAGAAATATTCAGAACTGCCACTAAATTATAATCCCCTTTCACCATTGTAACAAGCTCAAATTGAAACTAAACCACTGTTAATGGAGAAAGCAACAAAAAAGTAAATGTAGCCTACCTCTTGGAAGCCTCCAACTTAAGAACAGATTCCGAGCCTGGTTTCCTGTGATCTTTCCGTCCCTATCAGTGTCAACTTGCACAAAAACCTTGGTATATTTCTGGACATCAGCTGGGGTCATTTTTGGCCAAGGGGGTTGGGACTGGACCTGGGGCCGGGGTTGTGGTTGGGGGTGGGGGTGGGGCGGTCGCTGGGACAACTGACTGGAAGCTGAAATTCCAACTCCAACAGTAGAGCCAGGTGGACCAGAAGCCGCACCTGAGGGAGCATATGGTTGCCCTGATTGTCCAGTAAGCTGATTCTGAACACCAACAGCATGCTGGCTCAATGAACCCGGTTGTGGGATTGAACTTTGCCTAACTACAGACTGTGTGATCTCAGGGCCCGCAACAGTTCCAGCAGGAACAGATGAGATTCCCATTGTTGATGCAGTTCCTGTAGTATGTTGTTTTGGCTGCGTGGAAGTAACTGAAAAGACATCTCCGAAAAGTGAGTCAGAGGAAAACCCGTTTCCTGATGCAGCCAGTTCCTTGGGATCCTTGGCCACCAATTGCTTGGATGGAACATCTGAAACACGAACACCGAAAGTAGCAGATGATTCTTGGGGATTGTGCACAGGCGCTGACTCTTGGGGTCTGGCTGTTGTAGAGCTTATTACTGCAGGTGTAATATGTGGTTTTGGTACATGGTTGGCAGTTGAATTAGGTGCTGTCAAACCATATGTACTCTGACCCGAAGGAATTTGAGAATTCACGTTGCCAGAGGGGCCAACACTTCTGCCGCTGAGCCAATCAGATGGCATAGGTTGGTTTGCAGGACGAGGTGCATTAGTCCCTCCAGCTGGCATTCCCGGGCTTTGAAAGTTTTGCTGTGTCTGAGATGGAGGCAGCCCAGTAAACTGGTTCTGCTGGCCTGGGGCTACTTGTTGGTTATTAGTGCTTACAGTTCCACCCATTTGAGGCCCTCTCACACCAGCCGCTACTGATGGCATTGATGTAACTCCCTGAGCTTGTGTAGCAGGCAAAACTCCCCTAGGCTGTGGAGAGGGTGTTGCAGCAAGATTTATTTTGGGTGCAGGGATATTGGCGGAAGCAGGACTATAAATTGCAGCCTTTACTATCTCAGCAGTCAACTCCCGTCTACTTTGTGCCACTGTAACCAACTTTAGAGCATTATAAAACTCTGCTCGGCCAAGGTAGCCAGCTTTTTTTGAATCTGCATAGGACCATACCTACAAGATAATAAAAACAAGTTATAGCCTTAACAATCCAAAGAATAATTGTATAATAGGCGCTCAAAAAGAGCTTATATCCGAACTAATCTGGAGATGTTTTCTAAATTCCAGAAAAGCATGTTAAAATTCAAATACGCAGAATTCCCCTCATTGCATGCAATATTCTTGGCTTATGCACGATACAGAGAAGTAGACACATCTAGATTGCTTCTCTTATTTTCATTCAAATTTCACTCTCCAATTAAAAGCAAAAACGCATAAAACTATTCATATCTGCATATCTGCATAAACACAATGCCTGATCTGATAGACTGATACCAGCTCAATCGTATCACCAGGTGTGCCACTCTGATAACAGTACAGTGAATAGAAACCACATTTTAGCGTTCTTAGCTCAGAATATGTCAAGATCGAAAAGGATTCTCCATTAGAATCACATCAACTTGACTACAAGCTCCAGAAATGAAAAAGAGAGGTCCTATTAACCACCCGGCAAAGAACAAATTTGACAAAATACGTCACATTCACTACCAACGATCCCACAGATCAAAGATCCAATTCAAAACCTATAAGAACTTCAAGTATTCTCCACCATTTCCCAATAATCCAAACAAATACTGCAACCAAAAGAAGGAAATAGATGCAGATTTCGAAGAAGAACCTGAGCAAGGACATGTTTAGGCAAATTCGAGCCCTGGAAGAAAGCGACAGCCTCAGCTCCACTAATATGACCATCTCCATCCAAATCTGCCCTCCTGAAATACGTATCGAACAGATCCTGGCCTCCCGTCGGCCTAGGCGCTGCCATTTTTCGCAAAAGGATGATCCGAAATCTAGCAGAGAAGACAGTGTCCAGAAGTTTTCCGAACACGATCCAAATCAACGCATACAAAGATGCGTAAGAAAAACCCTAATTCATAAGGCTACCAACGGAGCACAATCGTAGATCAGTACCACATCGATTTTTTCAGGATTGAAATGAAAGGAGAAATGAGATCGGTAAAGGTGAAGAGAGGATCGACGACGACGATGAGAGCGCGGAGAGAAGAAGTAGCAGAGAAGTCGATGATGATTCTCCGACAGAGAAACAATTTCAATTTCCCGGGATTTGAGATTGAAACCGGTACAGCTAGCGATGGAAGAGATGATTTTGGGAAAGTTATGATTAAAAAAGAAAAATGTTTTATTCAATAAGAACCTCGAGATGCAAATTATAATACGGACAGAATTTTCATCTAAAATAATTATCTACAATTACTTTATTTTTCTATACTTTTTTTTAATGATAATAATCCAAAAGATTGCGTTAAAAAAAAATCCAAAAGATTATCAAAAGGTAGAAAATAGTGAGATCTAACTCTCTGTCTATTTTGATAGTTTTTCTCTTTTTCTTTTAAAATGCAATAACTAAAGTTTCCTCACTATAAAATTTGTTGGGGGAATTTGCTTACAAAATTTACAATAGATATCAGATATTTTGAAATTAATCATATGTTGTCATATCATTTTGAGATTTTAATAAATTTTGTTATTTATTTGTTTGCAATAAAAATTTTAAAAAGACAAATTTAATAATCTATTACTAATAATACCAGTCCCAAAAATGCCACACAATTCTTTATTTTGTATAGTTTCAACTTGAAAGTAACAATCATATAAAAAAAAAAATTTAGGGTGGTTATCTTTATCGTAACAATAATATAAAATTCTAGCATTTATACCAAATCTATGCAAACGTTTGATTTCTCTATACAAAATGTTTCCTGGGCCATGTTGGTTTATTAGATGGTATTGCTTGATGCATTGTGAGGCTTCCATGAATTTCCCCACTTCATTGAGATTAAGTATAAGTGTTTGATCAGACTCTTGTAATTATAGGAATCTGATCAATCAGCATTCTTGAAGGTTTTAGGATCCTGTATTGAAATTTCAGGTGATCTATTGTCCAATCTGAGAAGGCAAAACCTCCTTATGGAAACTACTGCGACTGATTCAGCTTTCAAACTTGTTCTAATAACATGAAAGAGAGAATTCTGTATACTTACCTATCTCTCTTTTCCTTCTCTCTTTGAATTTTCCCCATTTTTTAAAAATGGATTTGATTTATTCCTCTCTTTTTTTCTTTCTCATACGAGTATATTGTTTAAAAACGTGTATTGGTCTTATTGGTCGAACCATACATTTCAATAAAACCCGATCATGAGCCATGAAAGTTCACGATTGTTTGAATTGAATTTATTTATTTACCATCATCAATGACAATCTCCTTATTAAAAGAGTTAACTAACGAGAACTTTCAGCATATCGTAATAATAAAACAGTGCTAACTAGTTTGAGACGACCTAACAAATCGAGTCCAAGATTGATGCAATGTTGCTTCCACGAGACCTACGCAAGGGATTGTGAAAAGGCTTGAGCTTATGCACCAAACCCCAATACAGATCAGTCCTAACCATCTCCTTCAGCGTGACTCTCAGCGCCTTGCACAGCACGAAATTCCCATACGCATTCCTCGTCAACCTCATCAACCTATCTCCTTCCAAAAGCTCCTCCACCACCACAACCATTGACTCCTCCGTCTCCAAAAGCAGATTCACAATGTAGCTTCCATATCTCTGAATCGAGAGGTCAACAAAGTGGCCACGTAGACTAACGACGATGTTGTTCTTGCAACACAAGTCATTCAGTTTAAGTACGTGTTGTATCACAAAGTTCCCATAAGCATCGTTGCTTAGTAAAATAGCTTTGTGTGCGATTACGTCAAAGAGCTTGTTTCTGTAGTAAAGATCGTCCGCGTCGGTTATGATGTCGTTGAGCGCCAGGCAACCGTGTTTGTCACGCGCTATGTATAGCGCGTAATGGAGAATGCGCTCGTACATTGCTTCTTTCTTCTTCTTATTGAAAACTGCTATCCCCCGTCTAGCCACGTACGATGCGTACTTGTCGGTGATGATGTGGAGGAAGCGGCCCAAGATAGCGGCGGCGAACGTGTCCACGTCATCTGTTATCCCGAGAAGTTTTTGTATGCGTTTGGAGCCGTTCTTGTTTCTTGCGATCATCAAGAAGTAATCGGAATCTGATGTCAGCAATGACGCCATCGTTTGAAGCTCTCTTTGGTCTAAGTACTTTAAGATCATCTCTTTGAACGGAGCCGCATCATGATTTTCGCTTTTAGTCATTACGTAGAACATCCATTGCAGACGCATCTCCAGTTCTTGAGGAGTTAAGACGGTGAAGAATGAGTTAGTTAAAGGCGACGGAGATGGGGTGAATCCCGGAGGAGGAAACTTGACGGAGAAGCCACGTGGATGAGGAGGAGCAACCGCCGGATACCCTTCTGAGATGGGTTCTCTTGCGGCGGCAAAACGGAGATGGTGTGAAGCATTGAGCATTGTCGACGTTGAAAAGGGATCGGCGTGTGCCATGGTAAATTACGTTGATTCTAGAGAATGAAATTGTGGAGAATGAGAGTGTTGAGAATCTTGAAAGGGATTTTTGTTTGTTTTACTAGTAATAATATTATTAATTAAAATTGATTATTCATATTGTGTCAAAAGGATTAATATATAGAACCATTTTACATAATGTCAGTCATTTTGATGTATTTCATCAATTTTACATTATCGTTCAAGGTCCTGGATCTAGTTTTCAACTATGTTACCCAAAATTCAGTACTAAAAGCTGCTCTGTTTTTTGACTCAAAAGTAAAGAGTTGCTCGTAAAATCATAACTTTATACATTAGACTTAAAAAGGACACGTAAATAGAGTAACTAACTTAATAGAAGCAAAAACTAGAATACAGACAACTTTATAAACCATGCTTCGTAGCTTAAAACCATGCATCGGCATCGCCAGGACTAATGCCGTGCCACCTGAAAATGCAAGGGAGAGGCCAGAGGTTATTGTCTCCGGCGTTTCTATGTGTTTCTAAGAGCTCCGTCAATCGTGATGTCAACTTGGCAAGTTCAGGTCCGGAGTTGTTTGTGGGATGTTCAGATTCTGAGGAGCTGGGATAACACGTGTCTGTGGATGTTCGGGCTTCTTCAGGGCAAGAACAACTTGTTTCTCTGCCATTACGGCCTCTGTCTTTCCCTTCACCACTCTTGTTTCCTCTATAGGTTTGCAAGAGCTTGAGCTTCCCTTTAGCTTCTCATGCTGCTGATTTGATCTCTCAACCATAGTTTGACTGGTGACCACGGAAGTGCTGGTTGCATTTGGATCAACAATCATTTTCTTCTCTCCACTGTGTTGTCTCTGAACCACTAATTCAGTGTTGGGCTGAGCAGTCCAGTCTATTCTTGGTACCAACTGCTTCCTACTCTTCTCCATCTTTGTTTGATCCTTTAACAAAGCAGAATATAATCAAGCAAAGCAAATTGCGAAAATGTTAATGCAATGAGGTAAAGAGCTGAGAAAATTCTTTTTAAGTACCATGTCTTTCGCAAGGTTTCCATTCAATGCTTTTCGTCTCTCCTTTGCCCGGCAAATCGCACGTTTGATCCCATGATTATCCATCAATCTATTTGGCCAGAGTTCAGCCAGCTGGAGCATGAATAATTCCAAAACAATATTCATCAAGCTCTAATAAACCACCTTGAGCTTTTGGCTACGTCTAACCTTGGTGATTTAAGACGAGAGACAAGCTTGGAAAAAAATAAACCAGAATAAATTTCGAAAATGGAGAAGAGCTTACATTGACATATAGCTTTCTTTTTTGTGGACCTTGATCTTCATCATCCAATCCCTAGCATACCAAAAAACAGGAACAAAACTGTTTTGACTCTAATTCTACAGTCTAAAAGAATTGGCATGGCAGATTATCAAAAATAAATTATAATTACGTCAATAAAGATGTCATATAGATCACACAATTTATCCTCCAATGCTGCATCCATGACAAACTTCTTCAAAGATGGCTTTTCTACTGAGTCCTGAAAATCGTCTGATGTTCCACCTTCTGGTTTGATTGCCTGTGGAACAAAAAAAGATAGTGCAAAAAAATCATAAGTATCACAGGTGCCTCAACATATCAATAGGAGGAAAATACACTACAAAGGCAGATTGACACACAGGGAACATCGAAAACAAAAGAATGAAGAGCTTAATCTACAGGAAACCATTATCAGAGAGAGCTCCAGATTTCATAAAAGTTAACGACACTTCCAAGAATGTAATAAAATAGAAAAGCCATGGATGAAAGAAATGCCTATTAAGCAACTTAAGATTAGAAGACAGAGAGAGAGAGAACCTGTGATTCCATCAAAGAAACTTTCGCTTTTATCATATCAAGAACTTCATTGTTGATTTGCTGGAACCTAGTATCCTTTTCTCGGGTTGCAGAATCTCCCATATCAATCATGATTTTCAAGTTCCTCTGCAACAATAAGCATTACGAAGAGTAAGAAACCATATTTTGTTTGCTTTTACCTGAAACAGAAGAGTTTTTTTAACTGGTCTAACTATTTAAACACCTTAAAGAAAATCCTAACAAGTCTGCTTTAGTAACAAACAGACTAGGATACAGGAGACAGAAAATTTTACCTTAAGTGACCTAAGCTGGATTAGGTGACCAACAATGCTCATAAGACGGTTGATTAACTCTGTTGAATGTTTTCCCTGGCTTGCCTGCTGCCACAAAAGGCATATTAGTTTTTTCTCATACCATTTCAAGTTTCAAAAAAATGAGAAGAAGAAATGGAAAAGCTCTAGTACCGCAATCCTAGCAACTTTAGCAAGTTTCAATTTAACATCCCTGGGCAATCTCCTCTTCACTGCCTGGGATGAGGTATCAGCTTCTTGATTTTCAGTGATAGCAGGAGGCCTTGCTGCTTATCAATCATAAATTATTGTAAGTTGAAAATCACCAAATGCTATTCTAGTTGGCCATCCACTTGAAAAATATTAAAACTCACATTCCGCAACCACCTTCTCCAATTCCTTTATGGCTTTCTCAAGGATCGAGGTTTTAGACTTCACATTAGAACCATCTTTTTTCTGAGTAGAGACAGGTTATTGCAGATTTATAAAGCAAGTCTGATGTAAACTTTGTGGTAAGAAAAATGCATCAAAGCAAAGATTGACCAGAAAAATAACACAGAACCGAAATGAAAACTAGAGAAAGAAAACTACTAACTGAGTGTATTTTATGTAACTGAAGACACAGTTGGAATGTACTTACAGACGCTTGACTAGATTGTCTGCTTCCCGTTGCATTTGCCAGCTGATGCATACCATTGTATTCTTTCTGACGGACTACTGTTGCCTCTGCAAAAACATTGGCGGGAGATTTTCCTGGCAGGGACTTAGATTGTTGATGTAAGCTTTTGTTGCTGTATTTCGGATGAAGGGCACTAGAGGATCCAGTTTCCCTTGACTTGTGACTTGTATCATTCCTAGACTGATGATTTGCTCTATCAGAATGCTTCACATCATCCAGAGATACTGAAGTATTCGCAGCTTGCGCTCCAAAAGGCAAAGGTGACTCCTGTGTTTTCCTTGCGACATTATACTTTCTCTTCAAAGAGGACCCAGAAGCAGTTGATTGATCCTGGACTTTCCCATTAGTATAATCAGTCATCGGACTCAAACTCCGAAATAAATTAGTAGTTATTTGCAATAAATGATGCTACCTTTCGCCTAGCTGTTATAGACAACTTGGTGTGTTTATCGGATACGTCAACTGCATCACCACAGGGTTTTGTTGAATCCTTTCGTCGCCGTTTTTTGGGTTGCTGGTCAGATGTTGTTGAAGGTTCCCTGTTGTGAAAATGAATCAGGGATTAGATAACTCGTAAATGAAATATAGCAAGATTAGGTGAATTGAGAAAACTCTATCCTATCAAAAGTGCAGAACCTACATCTATATGAACGGTTTTTATCAGAAAAGTTGAAAAGATGGACTTTGCCATACCAAACACCTTACAGACATTAGCTAAGGCAGTATTAGCAAGACTGCCAACCATATTCTACCATTTGGAGAGACTACATATATCCAAATAGGAAGAAAAAAGCAAGGTGATTTCATATGTTTGTTTTTCAAAAACTTACGACATATTGCCTATTCTAAACATGATCTGAGTGATTGAAAAGTGACAAAGCCACCAAAGAGTTAACAGACATCAGATAATGAAAAGAGGAAGAAAACTCACATCCGCTCCAGTTTGCCTCTATATACATAAAATCCATCATGTTTAACTGTTGAATTATCAACTTCAAAATACTCATCCTGCAAGGAGTAGAGTGAGAAAACAAAGATATGATTTCTCAGCTATCAAAATTATATGAAAGATGTCAGTACCAACCAGTTCAGCATCATCAATAAATGAATCTTCAGTGTCATACTCATCATCATCAGGAGCACCGTCTAACTCTTCCCCATCACTGCTATCGTTTCCCTGAGATTTATTCTCTGAAGTAAGCATACACTTTTCAGAGATGTGTGAATGCAACAGTGATATTGCATGGTATGCAAAATGTTGTGAATGTGAAAAATCAAACATATAATAACCTACCAAAAGAAAAGTGTTTTAACAAAGAGTAGCATACCTTATAGAGCCTCTCTATCTTCTCAATAACAGCGTTGAAATGGTTAGAATGAGGTTGTTCATTCGTTTCAATCTCTGCTGGATGCCCCTACATTGCATATTATAAAATACAGCTGTCGACGATGATTTTAACTCATATTGTATGAAATAGATTGTGAGGAAGCTGCAAGCATACTCTACCTTGGTGAAATGAAAATCGACTATTATATGCTTTAACTACCTAATTCTGCTAATTGAACGTTCTCTATATTCTTAACGCACACATCTACAGTTTTTATTGCAACTAATTGAACCAAATTCCTTTCCAGATCAAGTATAATTGATGGCATATTCACATTGATAACGATGAAGTTAGCCTAATGTAGCTAGCAATTAGAAAGATCATATATCAAGTTGTAGACTTTTTCCATTTTAAGGAGTTTGCTTATCGAACTGTAGAAACTAGACATCAGAATGCAATGACAACAGAATTCCTCCTACCCCCTATCCATTTCAAGCATTTTCCCCAACAAACGAATCTGAAAATCAGTAAATTTAGTAAAACTCCTGAATAAACCCTAACAAGAAGCTACAACTCCCAGAAACAAGACAATGCTTAATCCAATAGCAGCAAACGAAACCCGCACACAAATGCCTACACCTATATATATCCGATTACCAATTCCTACAACATCAAACTCACCGGTGCAATTCGAGACTCGAGGTTAGGGTTAGCATTAGGAGGCGGATCGGGAACCGAAGCCGATGAACCATTGACCTTACTAGCATCCCTCATAAGCTTCTTCCACGAAACATACGTCGTATCCCCAGGTCGAAGCTCCACCTTGAGTAATTTCCGATCACCGGCCGTCAAAACCTTCGGCGATGCTCCCAACGATTCGCCACCAATAGAACCCCCACTTATCTCCTTCACTTCCGACATTAATAATTCGGGTCTGGTCGGGTCGGGTCAGTGATCCACTATGTACTGACCCTGGGCTCGAGACGGTTCGATCTCAACACCAATCAAGAGAGTGGAATCGATGAATAGAGAGACTGAAACTGAGAGAAGAAGAAAGTTGCGCGGGATACCAAAAATGACGCTCTTAATTATTTTTGTTGCTTTATTCACAAAAAAAGGATTATTAATTTTTATTACATAGTTTTTTTTTTAAACTGTATTATTTTATCGAAATATCTAATCCAGAGTTAGAACACTCTTGAGCTTTATCCGCTTCCCATGGCGTCTTCCGCCGCTTCTCCTTCCTTATCTCTACTCTCATTCACCTCGAAACCACCGTCTTCCTCCTTCACTCAGCGGCTATTTACGTCATTCAGAACGGACGGTGGTTTCACTCCTTTAACACTCAAATCCCGACGCGGCCGTGGTATCATCGTTAAAGTAGACGACGTCGATGCTGATGGAGGTGGACCGGACGAGTACGACATGGATGATGAGGAGGTAGAGGAAGTTGACAATAAGAAGGACTATGATGTCGAGTATGACCCCTTGGCCGCAGCGATGGCGGCTGCAGGCGGTGGTGGTGATGGAGATATCGCTTTTGTGCAGAGTAAGAGTTTTATATCGACACAAGGATGGGATTCGGAGATGGTTGTGGATTATCGGATAAACGAAGATGAGTTTCATAAAATCAGCTTAATGGACTGTGATTTCTTTATCAGAAAACCTCCTGATCCAGATAACGATGTTTATGATTTCAGAGAGGTGTGTTGTGTTCTCTGGTTAAATTTGAATTCCCAGTGTCTCTAATTGCTCATTTATTTGTTCATTTTTTCAACTATACACTGTGTTTGTTTGTGCCTCCAGATGTATGTAACTCCTCCGGATACAGATATTTACTCAATTCCGAGAGTTCTTGCACCAATGCCTCAAAAGGTCGGTCATTTATCTCTACCGGTTGTTGTTTTTTGTAATGCTTATGCTTTGTTATGGGACTTTCTTATTGTGCTCAATTGCTAATTGATCCCATTCGCTTTCACCCGACCTGGTAATTGTATAAATTATGAATTATCTGCACAAGTTTGCTATTGTTTGGAACTTCTACTCACACTTATAGAAGTGCCGTAGATGGTCAGAGCTTTCTTCACCACTTAGTATGATTAGAAAGTCAGAATGTAGCAGCTGGGTGTTCTTTAGCCACTTTCCTTTCCGGCTTTGATGATTGTGGTTTGGTGCTAATAAGTCTTTCTTAATGATCTTACGAGTACAGTATATTCGATGTGCAATGAGTGACTATGGATGTTACAATGTCACTGAGCCACCTATTGATGCTCCTCGGGATCCACTGTACAAATCTGAGAGGGAGATATCCAAGGTACGTATTAGACCATGTCTCATACATTGATGTTAAATCAGGTCTTTGATGCAGGGATTCTTGAGCAACATGTAATAACAAGGAAGCACTTAGTTTGATTTACAACATTTTTGGAAACCACACCAGGAAATATGTTATTTGAGCATTAAGAATGACATCAACACGAAACTACTTGGTTTAGTTTAGTAGTTACAGTTTCTGGTAGAACTTTTCTTCATCATGTTTATTCGTTATGCAGGTTTTCTTGACAAAGCATTACCGGAACAGAAGGACAAACGACCCAGAATTTGTGCTAGATCTTGAAGAGATCTATGTTATTGATTCCAAGACAAAGTCAATCACCAGAGCCAGAGTTCTGGTATGACCAATTCTTATCTTCCAATTTTTTTAAGCATTATTAACAAGTTCTCATTCTGAGTCTGAGCACAATCCTCAACATAGACCGTAGCCAATTGGGTGTTTTTGATGTTTTGACATATTCCCTTAGACGAATATGTTTCATGTTATTACACTCTTACAATGCTAGTTTATATTAAGTGCTATATTTGCCTCTAGTTCTGAATCATTTAGCTTGAGTTGAGTTCTTGAAATACTGTGGATAGCTCAAAGCTGTGAAGACAATCTTCCTTCCGATGTTAAGGTTTTAGATTGTTTCAGGTGACAGTTCCGGGAGGAAGAAAAAGGGATAGGAAGGATGACTTGCTCGTGATACGAGATAATGGAACCTCCTTTAAGATCATACACGTGGTAGCTTTCCATTTCCAGATCCATTTCATCTGGCAGACATTTGTATTCCTTCCAGATCACTCTATATCTATATATTTTCCATTCTTTCAGGGTGAAAGAGATGACCCAACAACGGTAATAGAAAGGGAAGAGTGGACCAAGACCCGAGAAGACATGGAGAAACATCTCAGGAAGCTACGAGACTTCAGTGTCTCAAATTGGTTCTAAAAAATCCCGAGAGAAACAAAACAGACAAGTCAGTCAGTATAACTTTCTTCCTGGGATATAATACGAGAGCAGATGATGTTAATCAATGATAGGGTGGAGGGTAAACAATTTTTGGGACCTCAGTTGGTACTTCACTAGAACAGAGATGAATATGGGCCTCTAGAAAAAAGTGTGTGTAGTAGATGCAATAGTTTGATGGACTAACATTCGATGGTTAGAGAAGCTAGCTTATTTGCAAATTTTGAGGTGTTTAATTCAAGTTGTCAATTGATGATTATAATGGCTTGTATTATTCTTGTGATGAGATATTTTCATATTCAAGATTGGAACAAAGAGATGGTTAGATATTTTCACAACCAGCAAACAATCCCGCCAGCGACTGTTTTCAAACAGCTTCACAAAGAGATCAGAAACATCATCACCGCACGACGTCACCGCAAACGTTTTCGCTCCTTGATGCAGCTCTGGTTATCATGACCTCACTATCTTGTGTGTTCACTATATTGAATTCTTGTTTTTATTCTTTTTTGCCAAGATTTCAATGTCATAGGCTTTTCTCGTAATAGCCAAACAGTTTCATTAATATGATATTAACAGTTATAGCAAAAAAAAAAAAGATTGGAACAAAGTGTGTGTATTTGGGAAATTGGGATGGTGTTGAGTGTTGACTGTTGACTGTTGAGTGGACTAATTGGAACTTTTAGACGGCGTGTCGCTTTTGGGATACGAAGCTACTAAAAACGGCAAGTAGTCTGTTATTCTAACTTTGATTTAATTTATGATGACGTCAAGAAAGGACACGTGTACGGTATCATGTTCGGTCGATTGGGATTTCACGTGAGTGGGATTACATATGTCAAAGTCGCCGACAGAGCAGTCATGTTGTGTGGTTGGTTCCATTAGGCCCATTCTGTGACCACCGAACATTAACTTCCCTATTCAGGTTTCTTTTTCATTTTTTTTTTACAAAATTTATATACATTGACACCCTTAAAAAAGTACAAGAATCACTTCGAATGACACGTAAAAACAAAATAAATGCATGCACCAACAATTCGGTGATCGAATTATTGAATTCGTTAGGTTTAGATATATGTAAAACACGAATGTGTTCAATATTATGGAATGGTAAGAAAGATCGATTTGACATGCCAAACCAATAAGGTGGATAAGGAAAGTATCAAATTTTAAGACAATTCAACTTAGTCGAAGGATTTAAACACACGTTATAATCGAATCCATTATAAATTGAAATCATTGAATATATACATGCTAGTGTAGGCTGGACGCCTGGTCCAAAAACATTACACGTTAAAAAGTGTTATACTAATTCATCTTTTGCAGAAAAACAAAAACATGTGTAGAATCTATCGAATAAAAATGAATTGTACGATAAAATAAAGAAGATTGACGTCGTTAGAAAGAATAGTCAAAATGGAATAAAAATAACGATAAGGTATGTGCATCAACCGTTGAATATGTAAATAATATAGTAAGTGTGGCTTTGGTGGCCTACATTTCTAATAAGTATCTTTGAATTGTCAAGCTACCAATTAAAATACACACACAATAGACAAGGAATGAATCATGTAAAAACAAAGGAATAAATCATATAATTATGAAAAGTCTTTATGATTATTTGTTATCTTATTGCCCCTCATTTATGGTTTTGTACATGGCACAACATTCTATTAATCGATAACGGTGGACCATATTTGCCGTATTTAATACGTAGATTTTTTATTCTACTGTTTGGTACCAAAGTTTTAAGTTATTGTATATATGTATGATCTTATTCTTATGATAACATAAATTCAGATAAAACAAATTATTGTTTATTTGCATACTTTTAAATGTTTATATATAAAATAATCTAAAGGTTGATACTTTTCAAATTTATTAAAATTAATTAAATTGAGCAAAAAAAAAGCAAATATTTTTTTTTTGATAATTTGTTAGGTTGATATTTAATGAGAGAGTGTATTGTGAAGACTAAATATTAAATTATGTATTTATCTATCAAATGGCAACGAAATGAAAATTCTCATATGTCTGCTCCTTCCTTCTTCTTTTTTTTTTGATTTTGGCTTTATGCTCCTCCATTCTTACTCTTCTCTCTCTCTAAGAAGCTGCAAAACCAAAATCAAAACCGCAAGAGAGCGAAGGGAGAGAATAGCTGATTCTCTTTTGTGAGCGTTGCATGATTTTGCGTCTCGTGGAATCATCACACTACAACGTATTCACCTGAAATTCAGACAAAACATTTTGAGGAAACTGGAGAAGTGAGATAATTAGAGAGATGACGGAAAACGGCGTCGTTACAGGAGGTGGAGGCACTGTTATGGTGGGCGTAAAGTTCGATGAGTCGAGCAATGAGCTGCTTGACTGGGCTTTGGTTAAGGTTGCTGAACCGGGTGATACTGTAATCGCTCTTCATGTACTCGGCAATGGTAACACATTTTTGTTTCTCTGGTTTTTTGACGAAAAAGCTAAGATTTTTGGAAATGGGTTTGAATGTTTACTCTGGATTTGTGTAGAAATCGTTGATAGAGCAGAGAACTCTTCGCTTATCTCCCTTGTTAAAAACTTTGACTCTGTTCTTCAAGTCTATGAAGGTTTCTGCAAATTGAAACAGGTATGATATTAAAGTGGAAAACTTTCATGCTCTTTTTTTTACTCTGCTTTAGCTGATGATTGAATTCCTTTTCATAGGTGGAATTGAAGCTGAAATTATCCCGGGGTTCTTCTACTACTAGAAAGATTCTAGTTAGAGAAGCAAAATTGTGTTCTGCGTCCAAAGTTGTAGTTGGGATCTCCAGACGTTTCCATACAATTCATTCATCTGTTTCCGTGGCTAAGTACTTAGCCAGGAAAGTATCAAAAGATTGCTTGGTTCTGGCCGTTGACAAGGGGAAAGTCATGTTTCAGAAAGATGGTTCCTCATCGATCATTCATCATTCTAAAGGTTTGGCCTTTTTCTATGAGTTTCTTTTGTATGTGATTATTTGTGTGTGTGGATTAGTGTTTTGAACGCTTCTTTCTTGGGTATCGGTTTGTCATAGGTAAAAGTGATTCTCGTAGGAATACTTTGTCTAGTTTCTTTCAGATGCCTGTCACATTGAGAAAGAATACCAAGGTAGGAAACCATTCTGAGGTGGAAGAGGAAGAGGCGGAGGAGGATCATTCCAATGGCCAGAGTCTTCGGCGGTCTTTAGTGTATGCATGCCTTGGGAATTGCTCGGTTCGTGATATGAATTCTCTGCCTTCTCCTGAAAATTTATCTCGCTCTTCTAGTTGTGATGGTGATCAAGATGATAATGCTGATTTCCACAAGGCAATGGCACTTGTGCCCGCAAAATTTCCAGAAGATTTGACCCCATTCATTACAATGCTGGTAAAGGAACTGCCTGAATTTAGACCAGGTTGGCCTTTGCTTTGTCGTGTAGCTTCTTCAGATGTATTAGCTTCTGCTCCGCGAAGTTCTTCGTTCAGAAAGATACCAGTTGTTCAGTGGGTGCTGAAGCTGCCCTCTAGGACCAATTCTGTTGTTGGAAGTTCAGACACAAAGCAGATTGGTTTTGATTCTTCTGAATCTGAAGATAATGATAAGTTGTCTAGCTCAAACGCTGAAAGCAAAGCAATTGTTCCCGGTGATTCTATGATCATGAAAAGTTCTCTTGATCATACCTCTGGTAGATTTCCAGAGAATGTAGAGGGTCTTCAGGAAAGGATCTCCACATCTTGCCAGGTTTTTAAGTACAAGGAACTTGTGTCGGCGACATCCAATTTCTGTGCTGGTTCGTTCCTCTCTTCTCATAATTAAGCTACAGTTTTTTTCTTAACTTTCTTTGGACTCTTGTCATTTGCTATTGTCTAAATAAGAAAAGCAATGTCCTTTCAGATAATTTCATCGGAAAAGGAGGCAGCAGCCGGGTTTTTAGAGGTTATCTGCCCAATGGAAGAGAGGTTGCAGTGAAAATTCTCAAACAAACCGAGTGTGTCTTGAAGGATTTTGTGGCAGAGATTGACATTATCACAACCTTACACCATAAGAACGTTATTTCCCTTTTAGGTTATTGCTTTGAAAACAATAACCTGTTACTGGTATACAATTATCTCTCAAGAGGAAGCCTTGAAGAGAATCTTCACGGTAAGCTTCTGACCATTTTGCCACTTGCAGATTTTCTTTTCTGATTCTAACAATCAAGGTTTGAGATTAGGCAACAAAAAAGACCTGGTTGCATTTTATTGGAACGAGAGATATAAGGTGGCAGTGGGAATAGCTGAGGCGTTGGACTATCTGCATAACAGTGCTCCACAACCTGTCATTCACAGAGATGTTAAGTCATCAAACATATTATTGTCTGATGATTTTGAGCCACAAGTAAGTTTCTTTTAGACTCCAATGTTTACTTCGAAGAGGATTAATTCGTGCGATACTAAGAAGAGAAATCTTGTTCACAGCTTTCTGATTTTGGGCTTGCAAAGTGGGCGTCGGAATCCACAACTCAAATAATCTGCTCTGATGTCGCAGGCACCTTTGGGTGAGAAATAAAAAATCAAATTCTGTTGATGTTGTGTGAAAGTTGTTTAAGAGAACAATCTTGAGAATGTTCTATGTTTCTTAATGCAGCTACTTAGCTCCAGAGTACTTTATGTATGGTAAGATGAACAATAAGATAGATGTCTATGCATACGGTGTTGTACTCCTTGAGCTTCTTTCTGGAAGAAAACCGATTAATAGCGAATCTCCAAAGGCCCAAGACAGTCTTGTTATGTGGGTATGTGGATACTAACGGCAAAAAGTTCTTACATTGAAATGTCTTAGCTTTCTTTGTTATTGCTAAACAGATATGCATGTACACGTGCAGGCGAAGCCAATTCTGGATGATAAAGAATATTTGCAGCTATTGGACTCTAGTTTGCAAGATGACAACAATGGCGACCAGATGGAGAGGATGGCGTTAGCAGCCACTCTTTGTATAAGACATAACCCTCAATCTAGGCCAACGATGGGAATGGTGAGTCAATTCTTAATCCTCCATTTCATTGCCAATTCCATCATTTTAGAGATGGCTACTAATCAAACAAGTTAACACTATGCACATCTTGACTTTACAAGAGTGTAATAACGGTTATTAACACGAGATGTCTTGTGGAAATGCAGGTCTTAAAGCTTCTTAAAGGTGATGCAGAGATGCTAAAATGGGCAAAGCTACAAGTGAGTAACCCTTTAGAGGATTCAAAGCTACTCAAGGATGAGCTGCGGAGGTCTAATCTGCAGTCACATCTAAACCTAGCATTCCTTGACATGGAAGATGACTCTCTTTCCATGGGGAGCATGGAGCAAGGCATCTCCGTGGAGGAGTATCTTAAAGGCAGGACAAGCCGTTCATCAAGCTTCAACTGAGCCATTTTTTGTTCACTAGAACAAATCACAATTGCAATACTCTCCAATGTGAGATGGTGACGAAAATGGATTCTCTTGTGTGTGAGTGTAAGTGTATATTTAAGAAAAGGTGTTTCTTATCATTTTCATGGCCTCATGGGTGGTGGATGAGAGGTGGATTTGTGGGTTTTATTGGCCCTCCTCCCTCCCTTGGTTTTGGGGATATAATCATAGCTTTCAATAGTTTGGGGTGTTCTATGCAATTTCTTTACTTTGTTGGGGCATCAGAGACATGTAATTTGTATTCCTTGATCCTAATGGATCAAAGTGAATTTTATTGTCTTGTAATGCTCGAACGTGTCTCACTGTTATCAATAGATTAACATTATCTTGTATACAATTTTCTTAGAGAATTATAAATGTTTCTTCTTGAATAAAATTTTCAAAATAGTAATTACTTTTCGTATTCTTTAGAGTGCCTATCACAATCTTAAAGATTTTAGCAATCTTATCTTAACTCTATAATGTGAAAGACAAACCATGTGTGACTGAGTCCATCCATATTCTGTGGTAAGAGATGACATAAGTATCTTCATATCATATTCAAGTTTCCATTGAGTTTGAAAGGAACAAGACAGGATGAAATAAATTTTGTGATAACTAATTCTTTGATAATGTACCCATTTTTTACTCATTAGTCATTAGAGTTTTTGTTACCCAAATGTAAAATCTAGTTATCTTTTTTTGTGAATGGCATGCATTAGATTTGAATCTAGATAGTGACACAATAACGACAAAAAAAATTAGCGACTAAAATATCTAAAGAAATCATTGTTTTGAATTTCAAAATAAAAAAATTTTAACAATTTTTTTTTTTAAATAACAAAACAAACAAAAAATTAATCGTTAATCTCACTCTTACCAACGATTGTAATCAACCATGGCCGTCAAACACAGCCGTCCTAATCTTATGCTGAAGAACCGAATCTTATATACACTACGGCCCATAATAAATCCAATGGCCCAATAAGAAAAAGAGAGCTGCGAAAGAAGAGATCAAATCCGGTTACCGAAAATCGCCACGATTCGACAAGTAAATTGATTCGTGTGTATAATTCTATTTTTATCGCCGTTTTCGTGTTGCGTGCGTTTTCATCAGCAGACGAAGACGAAGAAGAAGAAGACGCGGCGGTTCAAAAGATCTGAAATTTCTTAGGGTAAAAATTCAAATCAGCCATGGATTCATCTCATTACAATCCTACCTACGATCCATGGAATTCTCCTTACTCTCCTCATCTTCATCCTCCTTCTGCTCCTCTCCTTCCGCCGCCACCGCCGTTACCTCCTCCTCCTCCTCGTCAATCTCATCCTGAGAGCCCCAATTTATATGGTCGATCAACCCAAAGCAATGGTCAACGTCAAGATTACCACCACCAATACTCTCATCATCGTCAAGATCTTCCGCCCAATCCGGCGGTTAATCAGCCGACTTCAAACTATTACCAGCATCATCCGTCACCGCTCCAGCAACAGCATCAGCCACCACCGATTCAGCAGCAGCAGCAGCAGCATCCTCAATACATTCCTCAGCAAGTTAGTTATGAGCCTCAAAGGATGATATCACAGCCGTTGTCATCGAGTATCCCATGTACGGAATCCAGAGTAGCTCAGTCTGATTGGGTTGGGTTCAATGAAAAGCGACTTGATTCATGGACAGGGGATGCTGGTCCGGGTCGAAGCCGAGTGGATGATGGTCCAAGCCGTAACTATCAGTATGACTACAGCCGCTCGTCCAGGGATTCTTCGGGTGTTAATCGTGGTTTAGATGGTAGTTCTAGGTCTAGAGATGAGTTTCGTAATCTTGGATATGTTAGAAAAGAATCTGGAGCCACTAGGACAGAGGGGAATTATCAAGCCCGTGGTCAGTTAAAATCAGAATCCGATAGATTTGTTAGGGGTTTAGATGAGGGAAATAGGGTTTTATCTTCTGGTGTTGGTTATGGCAGTGACAGATATGGTCTTACAGTAAGTCGAGATGTGACTAGGTCATCAGCAAGCCGTGAAGGGGTTAGAAACCAGAGGTGGGACGAAGCACGTAATGAAGGGAGGACTCTCCATCCCCAGAAAAAAGATGATTACTATCATTCTGAGATTGAACAATATTTTGATCGTGGAAGGAGAGAGGAGAGCAGTGAGTTGAATCGAACACCTAGGAAACAATTGCAGAAGAAGAGTGCTCTGCTAAGGCTGGAAACTCCAAGATCCTATCAAAACAGTAGAGACAATGATTGGTCTCGGCAACATAATCATCACAATGGGAAAAGGTTTAACTCTAACTCATATAGGGGTAAGGAACACTTGGGTCATTCTGATCGTGGACTGGTGGAGAAGCAAAGGGGGAGAAGTCCAGTGGACCTTGATATATCATTTAAATCGAATGCTCTGGTAGCTAAGCCCGTAGCATCACCTACAAGTGCAGGCATCCGTTCGGGCGCGTCTGTGACACCTAGGTCTATTAAAGCTAGAAGAGCATTGCTTTCTGATAAAAATGAGAAAGCTTCAGTAACTGAAAGAAATGGAAAGCTGGGAACCCAGTTGTCATTTGAGGTTTCGGTTTCTGAGGGCTTCAGACGGTCGACAAGGCAAACTACTGCATCTGAAATTGAAAAACAACCTGACAGTCACTCAACCCCGTCTTCCAGTGATTCCGGTAGCAAGCTAAACAAGGTCAGATTTGTTCAGGACAGCAAAGTCAAACTTACTGATACAGGTCCTGAAGCTTCAACTCATGATACTGAAGCAAAAATTCGTAGTACTGTACATGCTGCAGAAAAGATCTCTAGTTTTTGTGAGACTTTGAAAGAGGCCAAGGATGACATTAATGTCAAACATGGTAGCAATATGGAGGCTTGCTCCACGGAGGAAGGTGTTATTGATGGAAACCAAAGTACACTGAAGTCTCATGAAGATGTGTTGGACAGAACGAGCACTGATTGTAATGCAGGCGAAGCTCTTATGCCGGAGGTCATGGAGATGGATGAAATCGTGAAGACAAAGACAAAAATCAATACGTCTCCTGGTAAATTACCTGTATCATGGCCAACAGCCGATGATCTTTCTGGGTGTTCTGAGGACATGGATTGTGAAGATGACGACATGGATTGTATACCATCAAGGAATATACCAATGATGGAAGTAAATACTGGGTGTGAAGAAAGAAAATCCATTAATTCATCTGATGGATCTTTGGGTTACGGAGGAAAGGATTTTCAGAAGTCATGTCTAGATGCATCCATCTATTTTAATAGAGAAGACCCTGGTGATAAGGTGTTGGCGAAGTCAGATATCGGTGGTATTGAAGATGACAACAAGAGGATTAATAAGAATCTAGATTCCTTGTCTCCTGAAAATGACTCCTCTAGGGGTTGCCCCATGGGTCTGGTTTCCCCTGCCTCTCTGGACATTGCTAATGTTTCATCGGATCTTGCTAATGCAAATAATAGTGCCTTAGGGGATCTTGCTAATGCTAACAGTTTTACCGTTGGGACATATATTAATACTATGGTCACGTCACCTGGTAAGAGTGTAGTTTTCCAGATGGAAAGTAAAAATCTTCCTCACTGCAAAAACACAGTCAATGCAGCTGTTGAGAATGTTAGCGGAAAAGAATACATGGAAACTACGCCTCTTAATGTTGCTGCAGAAACGGCTGACAATATGCACACTGATGAAGGTAAACAGACTTTTGTAAACGACACTTCTTCATCTCTAACAAAGGTTGGATTAAAGGGATCATCAAATGTGCTGTCTGTGGAGAGGACTGATGGCTGTTCGCACAGTGATGAATCTGATTTAGCTATGGCAGTACCATCTGAGGTGTGTATGGAAAATGTAAGCACCGAGAGACTTGTCCCTGATGAGGTTTTGAAATCGTATCATCCTGCAGAAATTCCTTCTGTAGATCAGTTTAGTGGTTCTGATAGTAGAGGTTTGAAAGCTTGTTTATTGGAGCCAGATGTTTCTCTTAGCAAAGATCTTAATGATTGTGCGAGAGAAAGTCTTGTTGAGCGAGATGTTATCCAAAGATCTGCCACATTTTGTGATAAATTACCTAGCTTGTCTGCGCTCGTAACTGAAACAAATCTTGCAATTGGAATTAATGGCATGTCTGGTAATGAAACGGTTACTGATACTGTATCTGGTCTCCACGAAATTCAACCATGTAAAACGGTATGCAAGTTGTCTCCTGATGATCGTTTTGGATATGGATCATCTGGTGTCGTTGGTTCTGTCCGGAGTCTCTTTATAGATAAAAATCTTGAAAAGGATCCTTCAAAGGTCAGTTCTGGCTTAGTATCTGATAGTTCTGTTAGTCCTTGTCATAATTCTCCCTTGGTGGCAGTGAATGAGGAGATACAAAACAATATATGTATCCAAGCTAACTACAGTAATTCTCAAGATGGCATCAAGCATAAGGAAAATAATTGTACTGAAAGCGTTGAGGTAGATACTCAAGAAGAGAAAGCAAAGCTTCCTGGAGGAACTGTTAAGTACAGAACTCCGGGAACTAATATTATTGCTGGTAGTGGGGACTCTGTGTTTTTATGTGATTCTTTATCCAGCTCAGGAAGGCGGAACTTCAGGCAGCTACGGAGTGAAGTTCATGTTGCTGCTATGGTTGATGAAACTAGCAAAGGTGAAGAGAAATCCAAGCCTTCTGGTGGTATTGTTGCTGTTAGGAGGGATTCAGTGTTTCCATGTGATTCTCTATCCAGCTCGCCAAGGCTGTACAGACCGTTACGAAGTGAAATTCACGTTGCTTCTATGGTTGATGAAACTAGCAAATCTAAAGAGAAAACAGAGTCTTCTGGTGGAACTTCTAAGCACAGAACTCCGGAAACTGATATTGTTGCTGGTAGTGGGGATTCAGTGTTTCCATGTAATTCTTTATCAAGCTCACCAAGGCTGAGCTTCAGGCAGTTACGGAGTGAAATTCATGTTGCTGCTATGGTTGATGAAACCAACAGAGTTAAAGAGAGTCAAAATGGAGATAGTCTTTTAGATACTTTACACGAGCAAATTATGATCTCTCATGAGTTAACCCAGCCAGATAGCTCTTTGGCGCATTGTGATTTAGTTATGAAGCCAATTGGTGATCCAATAGTGAAACTGACTGATATAACTTCTGATGTGGGCTCTCAGGAAAAAGACTTACGGAACAGTGCTAAGACTGATATATTTGATGGCGAAGCATTGTCATCTGATGGAAAAGTTTCTGGAACTGAAATTCCTGGTGATTCAGGTGTTCTTGTGTCCAGATCATACTCACATGCAGATGTTAAATTTGCATCGACCCATGTTAAAGAGCATGTAGTCTCTGTGCCAGACTGGGA